CACGCGGGAGATGCAAGTGGAATCTAAGAGGCACTTGAGTCTCACGGAGGGGGTGCTTGCTTGAGGTAGGTAGCTAGAGCTTGTTGTCGGTTGGCCAGTTGTGCTTGCTTGAGGTAGGTCGGTTGTGCTTGCATGGAGGTAGGTAGCTAGAGCTTGTTGTCGGTTGGCCAGTTGTGCTTGCTTGAGGTAGGCTTGGGATACCGCACCCAGCTGCAAGGAGTCGTACTGGATTCTGATGCCACTGATCCGAAAATACCCGGCGGCGACCTGGTCTGTGGAGACGCGGTCTGTCTTCAAAGAGCCATGAATGTCTGCTGTCGCGGGTCTGCTGTGACCATGCACTGCCCGCTGTGTCTTCATTCATGTGAGGTTGCAGTCGATCCTGGAAGAAGTGTTCAAAAGGGATGGCCCGAAGCACGTGGAATTGAATCAGAAAATGATGGAGGTGCTCGCCTTCGACGTTAAAGCTCTCTTTGCCGAACTGAGGAAGACTCGCCGGGTCTGGAAGTACGAAGCTAAGAGGCAATCAAAGGAATGGCCGGCTTCTGCGATGTCCGTAAATCCGAAGCTCTTCGAGATGATCGCCGCCATGCGGACGCAGGAATCCAAGGAAAACTTGGAAGACGACGACGACGAGTTGCTCTTCTTCAAAGAGGATGGATCAGTGGAATGCAGGGATCCAAAATCGCCCCCGGACGATTTCTTACTCTTCTTCAACGAAGATGGATCTACGGTGCGCCGGGAGCTTTTCAAAAACGAGACTCTCAGTTGCAAGCTGAACTCATAATGGCTACGTTGCCTTTGTTGACTGTCACTTCGTGTGTCTGTCCACTCGGGTCACTGCAGGCCAAGTGCTGACCCCGAAAAGGCATCCTCGTCGTCAGCGCAACCCAGGCCTCTAGTGCATACAGGTGATTTCGATGAACATGGCGGCAGTCATTTGGCATCTTCAATTAACCGTATATACCTCAGGAACCCTGAATCCCTAAAACCTCGAGACGACCCTAAACCCTAAATAACCCAGCTTCCGAAGGCCGGAGATCATGCAGCCGTCCACGGCATCATCGTCACAGAGCAGGCACATAGCAGGTTTGACAAGTTGGACTTGGCATGGGTTGTGCTCCGGGCAGGTCCGCCGTGCCGGGGGAGATCACGGTGCAATCCCTTAGGCAGGCATGGAATCCGACCGTGTGGCTTCTTATGTTGAGTGCCTTGTGCAGGAACAATATCCTCTCGTCGCTATCGGGCAAAACACTGGAAATTCTTGAAAGTGAGGATGAGGATGCTCCTGTTTCTCTGCTGCTTCTGGCTATAACATCCTGTTTCCTTGGATGCCTCGATCGCATGTCAGGCTAGCAGTGCTGATGCCCGCGGACCTGCTACGAAACGCAAGTCTGACGTGTCCGGTGAAGTCTCCTACACCCCAGAGCCTGAGTACTTGGAGGCACTTCAGCCGCATCATACATTTTCCTCTATACTTTCTTGAAATGCCTGCATGCTGCCAGGAGATGCGCCAGGGCATGGATGCAGAAGCCCCCGAACCCGTGCTTCCGCTTAACCAGCGACGGCTAGCCGCACGCAAGAAGGCGGCGGCCAAAAAGGCGGCTTCCAGGCCGACTGCGGATGACGGCCCGCATTACCTGATAAAGCCTCACAAGAGACATGGCAAAACTATGTTTGCGTTGGTGAAGAGGGTCAAAGACTCGGAGAACAAGTCGATCGACAAGCAGCTGGTGCAGTGCCGCGACAGGGATGTTGTGGAGGTCGCCATGGGTCAGCTGCGGAAGAAAGAAATCACGGAGGAGGAGGCCGTCCAGACTGTGAACAAGCACAAGCTTGAAGCTCCCTGAGCCGGCCCTGGAATCCAGGGCCGGCTCCTTGTATTATTATCATGGATGGAAACAGCTCCCGGACGGGAACCGCTGTGTATTATGATGGGTGGAAACTGCTAAGCTCGGCCCCTTTTCAGGGAAGCCGACGTGCCTCATGAGCCCGGCCCCTTTTCAGGGAAGCCGACGTAAAGCATGAGAAAAGGCACATTGCATGTGAACCAAATAAATCTGCAGGCATGCTTCCACTCCATGCTTTCCATGTGCGAGACAGGACAAACTTCGTTGCTGTTTTGTAGGCCGTGCCCTCGATGATGATTTGGAGCAGCGGCTGGGATGCCGAAGACAATCCGCTCTGTGCCCCGGGCTATGCCATGCTTCATGTTTCTTGATTCACATATAATACTTGCTGAACTCTCCATCATCGCAGTGGATCAAAGGCTTAATTAGAATCATGTCCCAAAGAATCACAGCCTCCAAGGAAACTGTGCACATGCATGACCATTATGCCAACCCGCCAAAAGATGTTTAGATAGAAGCATGTGTTCAAGATCATTGTCGTGGACTGATGAGTTGTTTTCACTTTGCACCGATCACAGCTGCCTTGATGGCTGGCCCTGCTGAGCTCAACTATACACCTGATCTTGTGGCCGTGGAACATTTTATGAAACGCTTGGATGTGGCACGACTGAGAGAGCTCCATGGTCTGGTGTCCTTGGGAGTTCCTTGGGCTTCGCGGATGCAAAAAAAACGCCTCTTCTCTCCGATTCTTCTCTCCTCTTTCTGCTCCGGCCTCTCCACAGATTTCATCCAGGTTTTGGTTGAGATGGTAATGATGTGCTTCGTGGTCCAGCTGGAAGGCTGCCTATATCTTTGCGAGGCTTATAACCCTGGAATGCCAATGTGTCTGTCAATCTTTTTTTCACATATGCAACTTTTCCCGCTACCTGATGTTGCAGGACTTGCCCACCGGGCATCTGCAAATGACGGAGTTCTTTGCAGGAGTTGCTGTGCTCGCTGGGGCATGGAGACGGGAAGGCTACAATGCCAAAGCCATTGATGTTGAACGATTCTCGGGTTGCACGACTTCCTCTGCATAGCCATGTATAATTGCATGTCCTGTGTAATGCCGCTCCTAAGGCTCCTTGATGCACGACCTTCTCTCGCCTCCAGGCGTGGTGCTCGCCTTCATGACAGTGCTGCTCATGGAACCAGGATCCTTGGTGCATTGTGGCACTGTCTGCACGTCCTTCTGCTGGCCGAATTCCGGAACTCATCGCCGCAGCGCCTTTTTCCCACAAGGAAATTCTCAATATCCCTATGTTCAACAGGGGTCTGCCTTGGCCAGCATCACAGCGGCCATCCTTTTGCTGCACTGGGCCCGGGGAGGAGTCTTCTCGCTGGAGAATCCTTTCAACTCCAAGCTGGAGGTTCACTGGGACCTTCAATATCTCATGAAGTGGTTCATTGCCAGGGAGCAAGAAGGCCATGTCAAAGCTCAACTTCTCAGGCATAGCGTTTCCTTGGCAACCTTTGCGGCTCACAGTTTGAAACCAATTTGGATTTACTCGAACGAAGACATGTCCGATGCCTTCGAGACTTCCAGTGCTCCCGGCTCCGAAGCTCGCTCCTGCAACAAGTACGGTCCTGTCATGCAAAAGCTGCTTGTCCTGAGCTGTGCAAGTATCGAACCACCATACACTACTTCCAGGATTCCAGTAAAGCTGGCTTCCCACTTTGAATGCAGTTGATTCTATCTTCTCCTGCACCTAGGTACGTGAACTCCCAAGGCATCCGCAAAACATGTGGGGGGCCTGGTCTCAAGGCTTCGCAAGCTTACCCGGAAAGGCTGCCTCTTCGAGAGTTGCATGCGTGTTTCGTGATGCAAAAGGGCCGCACTTTAGACATGCTCAAGTCCCTGTCAGGTTTGGTACAACCATATGCGAATGGTGGCTGCGGAATCGCAAGCAGCTTCGGTCAGATGGGACCCGTACGCCTTGTTTCATGCATGTGGTCTTCACTTTTTTGGTCATGCATGTGATACACGCAGGATGGAACGCAAAATGAGGGGTCTCCGGGCCAGTGGAGACAAATCCATGGCGGATCTTCATGCCGCTCAGTGGAGCCACATGACCTCTCTGCAATGTTTACTTAGTGAAAAAAATCCTAGGCATCGCTGCTGGACTACGCCCGGGCCAACGATCGCGATTTCATGGGAATTGGTTCCACTCTGTGCTGGCTGAGAAAGGGTCTTTGGAAGCGACAGTGATCCAGGCACTCAGGATGCTAAAGGAGAAAACCAATTACCGCATTGCTCCGTTGCTGTCTTGCGCAGTTGTCGTCGGTTGGTCCGCTGTGCTTGTCGATAACCCTAAACCTCCCAATCTACTGCATGGCCTCGGGTGGAGTTGCTCCCTTGGCTATTGGTGGAGGTGCTCCCCCTGTATCCATCGTCCATCTATATATATATATATACATGAACCCAACCAAACAGTCAGCTCCCCTATAATTAATTGCCCAATAGGAAAACTGTCCTGGAATCCAGGACTCAAATTTCTATAGTGTAAACTGTCCTGGAATCCAGGACCAAACTCCTAGGTACAACAACCCGACCCGACCTTGTCAGGATGTCTAATATGTGACATATGTTGGTCATGCCGGCCGGAAGACACCCTTCACTGACACGGGACCACCCCGTGACCAACCCGGAGCACCCGTGACCAACCCGTGACCGCCCGTGACCTGGAAATATCGTCAGACCCGTGACCTCGACTAAATACATATAGCGCCAGAAGGACAGTACCCGTGACCAACCCGTGACCACCCGTGACCGGCCGTGACCGGCCGTGGCTGAGGACGGACCACCACCCGCGACCTCATACCAATTATGGCCGCCGCCACCGCCACCTCCCACCGAGAGCCGTATAGGAAGCCCCACCGAGAGCCAAACAAGCCCCACCGAGAGCCAAGCAAGCCCCACCGAGAGCCGTGTAGGAAGCCCCACCGAGAGCCAAGCCCCACCGAGAGCCGTATAGGAAGCCCCACCGCCACCTCAATGCCACCATGGCACCGACATGAATCCGATGCATATGCAACGATTGCACTCTCAACTGTTGCAGCAAAGGCTTAAGTGTAGCCCTGCACTGCCACGTGCCTCTTTCTAGAGCTGTCATGGCAGATGTGAAGATTGAACTCTTGGAAGGCTTGCTCCGTGAGGACAAAGGAGCAACAAATCCGCGGCAGTTCGGACGCACGCTGGCTTCGGCATGCACCGCCGGACTGGCTGATGGCAATGTGGCGCCGGGTGAAGCTGGCCGGCTTCCGGAAACTCAGCTTCAGGACACTCAGTTGACTCTGGGAACCTGCGGTTCCGACTTTCCCAGCGACGATGACTTGATCAAGGCCTTACGCTTATTCGCCAGATTCGTGAATAAGATATGCACATCTGTTAGAACCCATGCATCCTGTCCACTTTGGGGTCTGCCCAGAGGCCTTGGAAGCAGAGATCGACCAGCTGACTAATCAGGACCTGCACTCTCTCATCTCATGTAGATAGTTTCCTGGATGCACTGTCAAATTAGATCCCAGGAAATGACCGGGGAGGTGCCCTTGCTGCTGGAAGAGCTGGAAGCCCAGAAGAAGGGCTTGCAGTCGAAAGAATGCGAGGCCAGAAAAGTTGAAGATAACCTCCATGTGCATGTTGTTCAATGTGTCTAGCTCCGCCTGATCAACCTGCAGGTGCCTGTGTCAGAGGCCGAGACACTGAACCCGGATGACTTCAAGGAGGCAGTCTATCAGGGGTTGGAAGAAGCAGTTAGAAGTTGGCGATCGCAAGAAGAGCTCGCAAGAGCAAAGGCCGAGCCAACAAAGCAGGCCGTCGTCCTGCTTCCAAGTCAGGATGCTTGCTGTTTGTGTGCATGCTGCTCCGCTTCGTTGTGCTCTCGACGCAGGCCCAGCTTCAAGAAGAACAAACGAACAAGCTGGAGCAGCAGAAGAGGGAGGAGCTCGTGCCTGTCCGCCCAATTCACGTATGTGCCTGTGTTGTTGCCTCTGTGCCCAGACCGAATTGAAACATGAGCTTGCAAAAACGAAGGCCGAGGAGGAAAAGAAACTTCAAGAACAGATGGCTGCGGAAAGGAAACACGAGGAGGATGAGAAGAGGAAGGAGGTGCACAACAAGAAATAAGTAATGTACTCGGGACTGCCTTTCAGAATAGAGTATGTGCTCATCGATGTTATCACACCCGTGTCCAGGCCGAGCTGAAAGAGAAGCTTGCACGAACCAAGGCCGAGGAAGAAAAGAAGCTTCAAGAGGAGATGGCTGCGGAAAGGAAACACGAGGAGGATGAGAAGAGAAAGGAGGTGCACAACAAGAAAATATAAGTAATGTACTCGGGACTGCCTTTCAGAATAGAGTATGTGCGCTCATCGATGTTATCACACCCGTGTCCAGGCCGAGCTGAAAAAACAGCGTGCAAGAGCCATGGCTGAGGAGGAGAAGAAGCTTCAGGAGATGGCCGAGGAAAGGAACCGTCTGCAGGAGGAGAAGAGGAAGGAGGCGCAAATCAGGAAAAGTGGACAGCAATGCACGATACAGTATGTGCTGATCAATCTTGTCGCACCCATGTGCAGGTCGAGCTGAAAGAACAGCTTGCAAGAGCCAAGGCCGAGGAGGAGAAGAAGCTTCAGGAGATGGCCGAGGAAAGGAAGGAGGTCCCGAAACCAAAAACATCAATATGTCGATGTACTGAACAGTCCAAATCACAGCAGAGGCCTCGATCGGTAGTTTACACATGTCCAGGCACAGCTGAAAGAGAAGCTTCTACAGGAGATTGCTGCAGAAAGGAAACGCCAGGAGGAGGAGGAGGAGAAGAGGAAGGAGGTGCGAATCACGAAAACCTGTAATAATGTACTTAATTGGGACTGCACTTCACAGTAGCGTATGTGCTGATCGGTGTTGTCGCACCCGTGTCCAGGCCGAGCTCAAAGAGCAGCGTGCAAGAGCCATGGCCGAGGAGGAGAAGAAACTTCAGGAGGCGGCCGCGGAAAGGAACCGCCTGGAGGAGGAGAAGAGGAAGGAGGTGCCGAAACCAAAGATATCAATATGTCGATGTACTGAACAGTCCAAATCACAGCAGCTAGAGGCCTCGGTAGTTTACACATGTCCAGGCGCAGCTGAAAGAGAAGCTTCTACAGGAGATTGCTGCGGAAAGGAAACGCCAGGAGGAGGAGGAGAAGAGAAAGGAGGTGCAAAGCAAGAAAATCTATAATGTACTCGGGACTGCAACAGTATGTGCTGATCGATGTTGTCGCACCCATGTCCACCAGGCCGAGCTCAAAGAACAGCTCGCAAGAGCCAAGGCCGAGGAGGAGAAGACAAAGCAGGTCCTCTTCTTGTTTCCAAATTAACTACGTTTCTATATGCAGGCTATTCAGCTTGTCCAGGTGTCGGTGGTTTCGTCGGGGGTGCTTGTTAGACCTTCTTTGCTGTCGGTTGGTTGGCTGTGCTTGGCGATAGCCCCAAACCTTGCTTCAGCTCTGGAACCAATCCATTGGCCTCGGCTGGACTAGCTTTGCCTGCAATTCTCCACGCAGGCCGAGCTTCAAGAGCGGATTGCAGCGGAAAGGAAATGTGAGGAGGAGGAGAAGAGGAAGGAGGTGCCGAGACGAGTTTAATTTGTAGCTATACAGTCGCAGCCATGTCCTTCTCCACACATTCCCAGGTCGAGCTTCCTCAACAGACCAAGAGTTTTCGTCCGTTGCGGTTGTGCCTAGAAGCACACTATATAAAACCAGGCTGAGAACACCAATGCGGCGGGCAATCCCCTTAAGGGCTGGACAGATCACGAGGCCGAACCTCTTCCTTCTATCATGTTTGCAGTGTTGGAGATCAACTCCGTACTGCCACGCAGGTCCAAGAATTCAAAGCGGAGAAAAGAAAGAAGCTTTTGGCAATGCTTGAGCAAGCCAAGAAGAGAAAGGCCGAGCAGCGGCCCGAGGACGGCCTTCCTGAAACTTCCCTGCCAGCACGTACGGAACCTTTCAACGCCGGCCACCCGAAGCCACAAGGGACAGTTCCCCAGCCCGCGGCCCCGAATCCGGGAGCCGCTGACCAAAAAGGCAGCGAGATTAGGATGCTTGAGCCCACGGCCCCGAATCCGGGAGCCGCTGAGCAAAAAAGCAGCGAGATTAGGATGCTTGAAGAGCAACTCCAGGCTCTGAAAGCTGGCAAAGAGAAGTCCATCTTGGACTCAGTTGCCAGGCAATCCATGGACAAGGCCGACAAGGCCTTGGAAGAGCTCGGCTGGAAGGTGCATGCCGAAAAGGAGAAGCCGCCCACGCAGGTGTCAACAGTGCCGGCCAAAGCCAACGGTGAACAGCTGTCTGCTCCTGCAGAAGTTGAGCTGCCCGCCGCAAAAGTGCACAGCAGCAGGTCTGGCTCTGGCTACACTCGCCGTGCAGCTGCTAACCTCCTGAAGAGACTCTCGAACAACCCGGCTCGGCTGCTGTCCTTGCCGCCGGCTCTGACTGCTGCCGTGCAAGACGACGATCAGAAGTCGGCCTTGATCGACGCCTTGGTGCAATCAGCCGGCTCCCTCGAGCAGGTGGCCGCCCACTACCATATCGAGAGTGTGCAGGAGAAGGCCCGCAAAGAGAGAGCCAAACTGACGCCTCTTACGGCCATCCAGCTGGAGAAGATGTACGGCTCGGACGCTCCAAGAGTCATGCGGGAAAAGCAGGAGCAGGGCTTGGTTCAAGACGATCCGAACCTCACGGGTGCCAAGCTGTATCTGCACTCTTTGTCGACGAGGACGGTCCAAGGGCCTCGTGTATGTGTATCTTTTTTTGCTTTTCTGTCCCAATATTCTAAGATCCAGCCAGGGAAGTCGAGACGAACTCCCTGGACCGTGCCACTGCTGCATTTGTGTACGTGGAAGTGTCATGCTTGCACTCATGTGGTAGAACTCGTTATAAAAATGGAGGTCAGACAACTTCCTCGGGCGGTGCTTTGGACACAGCGGATCCAACAGCTCGAGAGTATCTGGCAATGTGCAGCACCTTCTCTTCTAAATTAGTCAACTCCACATCTTTGTAATGTGTCTGCAACAAGTTCCTTATTATAATGCTCTCCTCGCAAGGTCAGCCCTGGCAAAGAGTGGCCAAGCAAGGCCATCGATCGGCAGTGGCTCTGCCCCATCGACGCCGGCCAGAACTCCGCCTGGAACTCCGGCTTCGAATCCTACTCCGTCACCGAGTGACGAGGGCAAAGCACCCAAACCTGGAAAAGGGAAACCGCAGCGAATGGAGCCCCTGACAACCCATGAGAAAGCTGCAGACCTCCGCAACAAGGTCATGGCCAAGGTGACTGAGACACACAAGATGATTACTCAGCTCAAGGGCAACGTCTACGCTGCGAAATGTTTGGAGGAGCTGACGGCTTATGAGCAGAAGTTCCAGCCCCCTTGTTTGCAGCCAAATCGACAATGCAAACTGACATCTCCCATGACTTGAATTCCCATATGCTTTCCCAGGAATGTGTGGGACCAGGTCAGCGACCTGATGAAGAAACAGGTTCAGGACGAGCAGCTCTACCTCCCTTTGGGCCGCGAGTTCCTTGTGCTGAAGCAGGTCACGGTCCGTTAAGATTGTGTTCTTGCATGACCTATACGTAGTACCATCTCTTTGCTTGCTCCATTGAACAGGAGCGAACCATCAAGACGGCCGCCTCGCTGATCAAAGCTGCCAACTTAGCCTTGGGCCCGACCAAGGAACCCAAAGCCAAGGCTAGCAGAAAGAGGAAAGACAAGCAGTAGATCCAATGGATCATAGTGCAGGGTTCTGCACGTGCAGATCAGGATTGAGATCTCTGCCGGTGCAGCTACATATAGGGGAGGAGGTCTCCTCTTTCCAAGGGTTATGCTAGTTGCACGTGCAGAGTCTATGACAGTAAGGTACTGTATTTGGCGTATATATATATATATATATATATATATATGTCTGTGTGTGCTCCGGATGGAAGAACTGGGCCAAGACCTGCACGTGCTTTTGGGGGCACATCTGAAAGCATGTGCAATCGTGCTCACGATCACTGCGACTGCAGTGAACATGCACATACGCACAAGGCGCTGGATGAACCAGCAGCCTATACAGGTATATTGTACGGAACCACAGCGGCGAGCTGCAAAAAACATGCTGCATCAGGATCCTCTTCCAAGCTTTGTCCCTCTGCTGCTACCAGAATGGAGCATTTTTTGATTGGCAGGTACGACAATGCGGGGATGGACGAAACGATCTGCGAGGGCAAGCGTCGAGTGAAGATGTGATTCTGCCACGTTTGTTACTTCATGTGCTGATGTAGCATGCTCTAACTTGACCTGCTTCCGCAGATCTACAGACGATTTCCAATCTCATGGAGCTCGCATGCT